ATCTCCGAAGAAATTGTATAGATCGGATCACTATAGTATATAGCTGGCATACAAACTGAACGATCGGAATCAAGTGCTTGCATGGAAAATTTTATCATTTGACGAGATATGTTTACGAAACTTTGCATGGGTTATTGTCTAAGGCAAAAATGTAATCTCCGAAGAAATTGTATAGATCGGGTAACTAAAGTATATAGCTGCCATACAAACTAAACGATCGGAATCAAGTGCTTGCATGGTAAACTTTTTCATGTGACAAGATATGTTTACAAACTTTGGCATGGGTTATTGTCTAAGGTAATAATGAAATTTTCGCAAAAATTGTTCAAATCGGACACTATAGTATATAGTTATCCATACAAACTGACCGATCTAAATGAATTTTTGTATGAACGTAAGTAGAAAATAATGTTAAGAATATATACATAAGAGCAAGGAACAAAAATATTATTTAGTTACCCCAGTTATTTATTAATAATAACAGAGAACTAACTATGTAAACATAATCATCCCGTTTTAAAACCTTAATTAACTGCTGGGTAGGTACAAAACAAAACATAGGTAGAAGAGTAGGTAGGAAATAAACATAGTTCCAAGAACAGGTAGTATTGTATAACCTAGGTAAAAAAGAGGTTTTGCACCTTTTGTAATTACCGCCTTAAAGTTGCTTGATGACGCCAAAAAGGGCAAAAGAGTTTACAGACGTGAAGTCGGGCTCTAAGCTTTCAATAAATAGGGCACAACACATCGGGTCACTTCAGTTTACGCGAGCAGCTTAAATTTTAAACAACACAAACAACTTTCAAAATCAACGAAAAAAATCCCTTTTTAAATAATACGCATTCTTTTAATTATATTATTATTACTTAGTTTATTAATATTTTAGTATATTTTTTATTTGTATAATATTTTTTTAATAATTTTTGAAAATGCCAAGAGTATCTAGGCAATCGCAGGAACAAAGGCGTCGCAATGCTTTGAATCGAAGCCGACGACAATATAGCCAAAATTTGGAAAATAGTATACGGAGGAACGCTGACTATATTGCAGAACTACGCAGCTCAAATTTGGAGTATCGCAATGAGGAAAGAACTCGTGACAGTTTTGCGCATTCCATTAGGACAGAACCAACTTCACAGAGCTACACAACAGGAGCGTGACACGATCAGTCAATTAAAATAGACGTTTGATTTCGAAATACAGAGCTGATGAGCAGGTACGCAACACCACGGAACACTCAAACAGCCGAATGAATCCTGAATATAGGACAGCGGAATAGGAGCGTGACACAGTAGGACATTCGAACAGGCGCTTGAATCCGGAATATAGAGCTGATGAGCAGGTACGCAACACCGCGGAACACTCAAACAGACGAATGAATCCTGAAAATAGGACAGCGGAGCAGGTGCGTGACACAGTAGGACATTCGAACAGGCGCTTGAATCCGGAATATAGAGCTGAAGAGCAGGAACGCAACACCGCAGAACACTCAATTAGACGACTGAATCCTGAATACAGAGCAGCGGAGCAGGAGCGAGACACAGTAGGACATTCAAACAGACGAATGAATCCTGAATATAGGACAGCGGAGCAGGAGCGCGACAGAATGGAACGTTATGTGCGGCGCCAGAATCCAATAATAAGAGAAGAAGAAAGGCAACGAGATGCAGCATTGAGGAGGAGTCATCGAGAAGATCCAATAAGAAGACGTCGTGAGCAAATTTTAAATTCTTCTCAAAGAGGAGTGACCCGCCAGCAAATCAGGCAACAACTTTAAAACGTGCAGGAATCAACGTTGGAAAGAGTACAATTGCATAGATCGGATCCCGCAAATCGTCAGTTAGAAAGCGAAAAGCAAATCAGGAGGAATATAAGAAGACGTCGTGAACTTTCTCCTGATGCACAGCTAGAAGAACATCAACGTCGAGCTGCCAATATCTTTGGTATGTACGCATTGTTGATAAAGAAAGATCCCACAGAAATATGCGTGTGATGCGGTGGCACTTGGTTCCCTCACCAAGTGAAAAAACTAGAAAAGCGTTAGACTTCAACAAAATTTACGCGCTCAGAAGATGCTAGAAAAGTGTTTTACCTGTCATCAAAATTTCCGCCTTCGAACCAAAAGTACAACTTTTGCAACACATGCTATCGGATTGTTAGGAAAGGCAAGTTGCCAAATATCTATCTTTTGGAAGGATTGGAGTTTCCGGATATTCCGGAATGCCTTCAGGTTTTAACGTGTCTGGAGGAAAGACTGATATCACCGAGGATCCCATTTATGCGCATCATCTCCCTAGATGTGCTATTCGTGGAGCAGTGGTGAATATTCCGATTTCTGTTGTAGAGACAGTCACCATGCTGCCACGAAGATTTGACAACAGCCATATTATTCAAGTGCACTTGAAACGTCGATTGGAATATAAGCAAAATTTTATGACGGAGACAGTGCGACCAGCAAAGATTTTGGAGGCACTAAACTACCTGCTGGGTACAGAGCTCTACGTCAAGCATAATATACAAATATCAAGTGATTGGCTAGCAAATGTTGGAAACGAGGGAACTGTGCCATTTATTGCGGATCCTGCCGATCACGCAGAAGTAAAAGACCTGCTAAATGCCCGTCAGGAAAATGTACCACTTGAAATGGAAGAAGAATAAAATCCAGGAGGTCAGGAGACTTTCATGGACAATGAACCCGTTGAAAATAGATCCATTGAACGGATTGCAATGGCACCAGGACAAGGTAGATGCCCCAGGGATGTTACAACCGACGACGATGCTCAGGAGTTGTCGTATCCAACGATTTACTGCGGAAAGAAGAGGGCATCCACAACAACTTACAGTAAAATTGCACGTTCTGAAATTCGGCGCTATGATCGGCGTTGTGTGCACGTGGACGTGCTACTGTATATTTATAAGTTCTACGAGTTGGAGCGCATTAAAAATGCAATTTCCATTTGCCTGCGTAAAAAGTCTGAATCAAGGAATATAACTGTTGCAAATGTGAGGGATGAAAATTCTGTCAGCAACCTTATCCAGCATGATGACGGCTTTTATGTACTCAAAGGACTTCGATCACTCACCTGCACATTGAGAGGCTGAAAAGAAGAAAGTTTTAGCCATGATGCGTCAGTTTGGTTTGCCAACATTTTTTATTACAATGTCTGCTGCAGAAACAAAATTGCCTGAGCTGTTGGTCATATTGAAGAAACTGGTAGATAAAGTAGAT